ACGACTACTACTACTACTACTACTACTACTACTACTACTACTACTACTACTACTACTACTACTACTACCACTACGTGCCAGGACCCAGTTGCGCCAGCATTGTTTCTTATGTTGTGGGAGGGCGGAACTTGTCCGTTGTTCTTTCAACATGGCCAGTCTTGTCGTCGACGATGCGAAATGCGTGGCGGGAATGGGACGCGGCGCACATCCCGCGCGGACGTCAATGCGGTGTCCTGGGGTATCCTCCTCTCGCACTTAAATGCCCGCGCAGCCCCCACTTGTGCCATCACTGTTTCTTATGCTGTGGGAGGGCGGGTGGGAATGGGCATGCCATGCTTGACTCGCTCGAGCTGGCTAGCTTGACCCCACCCCTACCCCTACCCCCCCCCCAAAAAAAAAACCCTACGATTTCTGAGGAGGAGGGCGGGGTTCACTTCGTTCGGCAGCTCCCGAGCAAAGTGAACCCTACCTCCCCCCTCAGAAATCGCGGTGTGTAGGTGTGAGTTCGCATGTGGCATTTTAGGCCTGCTTGGCGTTTTCGGACGGCTGCTGGAGGGCGTCGCGGTACTCCACCGCGACGCCCCCGCCGATCCCCGAGACCTTTGCAGGCGCTGCTACAAGTGCCCCCTGCCCAGGGTGCCTCCAGGGGCCGTTCCAAAATGGAGCGAAAAACTGGAGGCACCTTGGAGTGGGCACATCTGTCGCAACCACAGACCTTGAGGTAGGCGTAGTGCGCGGGCGCCTCGGAGTGCACGCGGATCAGGACGTGCTCGGCCTCGTGGACTCTCTCGGCCCAGCGCTTCTGCTCCTCGGGCTGCTGAGCGGCGGGTTCGTCCTCGCCCTGGCCCAGTCGAGCCCAGGCGACGGCCGCCGCGGGCTCGACCACCAGAACGGTTTCGGGGACGCCCGCGCGCTCCGCGATCTCGCCCGCAGCGCGCGCACTGTGCCCAGCTCGAGGGCATCGCCCTTGACGATCTGCTCGCAGCTCATTATCGCGTACTCCTTGGCGAGCTCGGCGCGGCGAGCCAGGTTGGTCTGGCGCCGCTCGAGCTTGTGCGTTTTGGGGTACTTGGACTCTGCCGCCGGCTTCCCTCCAACTTCCGCCGCTTCCGCCGTCGCTTCCGCCGTCGCTTCCGCCGCCCCTGCTAGCTTCCGCATGCTTCCGCCGCCTCGGGCGGAAGCGGGCGGAAGCTAGCGAGTGCCTATGAGCCTCGCAGCCTGGCCGCTGTCGATCTGGAAGATCGCCGCGGCGTCCACCTCGTGGGCGCGCTGGCGGCGCGCGCCCTCGCTGCCGGGACTCGCCAGACGTCCTGCACTCCGCCGCGCCCGCCCCCGTGGACTCCCTCATCGGTGACGCGGGCCACCTTGCCGTTCCATGAGGGTCCTCGCAAGCCGCAAGGCATGTTTCCGCCTTGGCCTTCGCTTTCTTCTTCGCAGACGCTCGTCAGCTTCCGCCTGCTTCCGCTTCGTGGCTTCAAGCTTCCGCCGTCGCTTCTGCCGCCGGCTTTCCTCCAATTTCCGCCGTCGCTTCCGCCGTCGCTTCCGCCGCCCCCGCCAGCTTCTGGTCGCTTCCGCCGCCTCGGGCGGAAGCGGGCGGAAGCTAGCGAGTGCCTATGAGCCTCGCAGCCTGGCCGCTGTCGATCTGGAAGATCGCCGCGGCGTCCACCTCGTGGGCGCGCTGGCGGCGCGCGTCCTCGCTGCCGGGACTCGCCGGACGTCCTGCACTCCGCCGCGCCCGCCCTCGTGGACTCCCTCATCGGTGACGCGGGCCACCTTGCCGTGCCATGGGGGGCCCTCGCAAGCCGCAAGGCATGTTTTCGCATTGGCCTTCGCTTTCTTCTTGGCGTTTTGCCCCGCTTGCGCCTTTGCCATGAACTTCCGGGAGAAGCTTGTCTTGGCCTTCGGCGCCATGCCTGCGAGCTTCGCTTTGGCCGCTCCTCGGCTCAGGTGCTCGAGCGAGGCCTCGCCGCCAGACTCTGCCTTCGCGCGCTGCCACTTGCGCTGCAGCTTCCCCAGGAACTGGCCCGAGGATATGGGCGCCAACCTGCTCTTGCGCTTACAGGTTCGTGCCAGATTGAGCTGGTTCTCGAGGGCGTGCGGCAGCTGGATATCCTTGATCTGTTCGTCTGGCGTTTTGAGCATGTCCTTCTGCTCGTCGGTGAGCTCGAGGTTCAGGTCTCGGAGCTCCAGGGCGCAGGGTTTCTCGCCCTGCTCGCAGCCCCCTGGCATGTCGTCGAGGTGGAAGCAGTTCCCGTCGAGGGCGCCCCACTCGGGCACGGGCGGCACGCCCTCGGGCCACTTCTGCGTGCCCTCCAGGCGCTCGCTCGCCAGCCCCCGCTCGATGCCGCGGCTGGGTTCGACTGAGTAGCTCCACGGCCCCATGCCCGTGACGACCTTGAGCTCGCCCTTCTCTGTCGGCCAGACCGCGAGCATTTGCTTCGCTTGCAGCCCTTGGAGCGGCAACGCGTCCTTGTTCTTCTCGCGGAAGCGGGTGTCTGCCTCAGAGACGTAGTGGAATTTCTCGTAGGGCCCCCATTGCGTCGGGGAAGTGTATTGCCTCTCGGGCTCGGCCTTGGCCTGCTGGACCCAGTCCTGCTCCGTGGCCCAGTGCATCTCGGCCTGGACCTCTCGGATCATGGCCTTGAGCTGGCTGCGATCGCGGATGTCCGGCCCCCGCAAGAAGCTCGCGACGTCCGGGGCCATGGGCGCGCGGGCCACATTCTCGAGCCACGCTCGCGGCGCGACTGCCTCGGCCCACTGGCTCGAGTGGCAGTCTGCGAACGCAAGGCTCTGGCGCTCGTCCGACCCGTCCCTGGGCCGCCTCCACGCGTCGATGGCCTCGAAGACTCTCGCGCGCTCCTCCTCGGAGAACTCGAGCAGAGTTTTGCCCCAGCACTTGACCAATGCTCCGAGGGGCTCTCCTGCTCGGAACTGCTCCGTCTCGCCGTCGCTCCGCTCGTAGGTGACGTCGCGCACCAGTGTGTGGTCTTCTGGGCCTCGGAGGCTGCCTTGTCTTCCTCGGCCTGCGTCTCGCGGAACTTGTGGCGGAGGTTATCGATGCGTTTCTTGGCGCCTGCGACGAACTCGTCCACCCACTTCAAGTCCTTCTTGCACGTCTGGTTGACCTGGGGGGCCTTCAGGCGCATGGTAAACTTCTTGACGCCGTGCTCGTCCGCGTGCTTGCTCCAGTCGATGGGGGGTCTGTAACTTGGATTGCGCCGGAGGGTCTCGTCGCAGCGTGGGCGCAGCTCGGGGCTCGCGCGTCCTCTTGCGCTCCACCAGCTTTCCCTGGGGTCTGCCGCTCTGGTCGAAGCCTCGCTTCACGCCTCGGCCGAAGTCGTCCGGGGCGAGGGCCTGGCCATCGGCGCCGGCGAACCTTTGGCGCGCTGCCGCGGCCGCGCCTCGCTCCTGATGGGGGTGTGGGGGGGGGTGCTAGTAGTAGTGCAGTCGACCTGTATACTAAAGATGCGCCGTAAGGATGCACGGGCCTCGGCAGGCCCATGTCGACATTTCCCGACTGGGACTGGCCAGCGAAAGTTGCCAAGGATAGGCCGAAAGGGCAAGGGTGCAAGGGCGACATTGGGAAGGTTGCTCATCCTTAATACGCGGATTCACTGCAGTAGTAGTAGTAGTAGTAGTAGTAGTAGTAGTAGTAGTAGTAGTAGTAGTAGTAGTCGTAGTAGAAGTAGTGGTAGTGGTCGTAGTAGTCGTAGTAGTAGTAGTAGTAGTAGTAGTAGTAGTAGTAGTAGTCGTAGTCGTAGTACTAGTAGTAGTGGTATAGTAGTAGTAGTAGTATAGAGTAGTAGTAGTAGTAGTCTAGTGTCGTAGTCGTAGTCGTAGTCTAGTCGTAGTCTAGTCGTAGTCGTCGTAGTGTAGTATAGTAGTAGTAGATAGTAGTAGTAGTGTCAGTAGTAGTAGTAGTAGTAGTAGATAATGGAGTAGTAGTAGTAGTAGTAGTATTATAGTAATAGTAGTAGTAGTATGGTGTATAGTAGTTAGTGGGTAAGTAGTAGTAGTAGTAGTATTAGTAAGTAGTAGTAGTAGTAGTAGTAGTAGTAGTAGTTGGGGGGGGCCCTCTGGAACAATTGGGACTATTTGGGGGCTCTTGGAATCTAGGCCAGCGGAGTATCATGGCCATCATCGTTACCACCATCATTACCATAACTATGATCGTCATCGTCCTATTCGTCCACATCCCTACCCACGGCACGACGATTCTCATCTCATCGGCATAGTTCTCATCGTCACCCTTGTCACAAGCGCGGCCACCAGATCCGAACTACCTCTCATCATCGCTGTGCTCGGACGGAACATTGCAGCGGGGAGACCCCGCTCCAAGCTGCTGCCCATGATTCCGTCCAGCTGCTGCTCTCCAGCGGACATGGTGCGGACCAAAGGCGCGACACACCTCTGTTCGAGGGGCGCGTTTTCGCAGGACTCTTGGAGGGATGCGGCGCGCCCGCCTGAGGTGGGCGCGGCGGCTCCATGGGCGGCGCCGCTGGGAGGCTTTCGCTGAGCGCCGGCATTGGCGGCTTTGGCCTGCAAAGCGTGTGCTCAAGAAGCAAAGGGGCGGGAGAACTCCAGATGCACTGCCCATGCCAGCTTCAAAGGGGAACGGAGGGTGACAGCGCGTAACTCCAACATATGGCGTTCGAGTGCTTCATGAATGCATGCGCGCACCATGTGCTCGCTGCAACGATACCGCAATGATCACCAGCGGTTCCAAACATGTGTACTGCATTCGGGTATTCTTATATGCGAATCATAATGGTGGTGTGTATATATATACACATGAATAGGATGCGTAGGCTTATAGAGCATTTGAGATATACTTATTCGTACACCACGCGCGTGAAATGGCAGGGTGATGTGTGATGTGCGTACAAAGTTGGCGCGCATTTAACGCAAACGTTGACATCGTGAGAGGCATGTCGGTGCCCAACACATTGGTTCACTGCAACAACTTGGAATTTTCGTGGTGGCGTGAACACATACGGAATAGGCTTGATATTTGAGTGTAGGCCATCAGCGCGTACAGCGGCATCGCGTAAAGCAAACCATCAGCGCGTAAAGGCCCAAGACCGTCACTGCGTAAAGCGCGCCACGGACGGTTACGAGCCGGGCAGACCGACAACCAGGTCCAGTGCCTTAGAGGAGAAGTAGGGAGCCCTGAGTGCATGCAATTTGTGTGGGGTGTGTGTATACATATGTATGTGAGCTCATGCGCATGCACACACGAACCATGCGAGGCACATGCACGCACCGCCGCGCACACATGTCGCAGTCGGTCGAATCATGACCTTAACTTCTAATATCTTCAAAACGGAGCTGCTCAACACGCATCGGACACCATTAGCAATTTTGCAGAGAAGCTGCCAATGCTCGCGCACTCGCTGGAATGATAAGAAAACCATCGATGATTAGCCATTCCGTCGAATCAGACCATGCGGGCCGCACTCGCGCGGATGTCGAACACGATCAACAGACACAGCGCGCCCGCCAACCCAACTGAATACTATAATGCAGCCCTAACACGTGCGCGCTCGTCGAAATCCGTCTAAAACCATCGGTGCCACTTAGTATTTCAACACCGAGGTGTTCCAACACTGTCGAAAGTCGAAACACACATGGCACGCCACCAAACATTAAACATACTTTCGGAAGTCTTGAACCCTGTAAGCGCTCACATCCTCACTATCCTCATCTGCTGAACCGTTACACCGTCACCAGCGTCATCATCACCATCGACATTGTCATCATCATCATCATCATCATCATCATCATCATCATCATCATCATCATCATCATCATCATCATCATCACCATCACCATTACGACCACCGCCGTCACCGTCGTCAGAGTTCCGTGTCTACACCCTCGTCAAACTTTAGCGCCCGCGTTCACACGTATCCTCTTCAAAACAATCGCCATCATCGCCAATGCCACCAGTGCCACCATCCTTATCATCACCGTCACCTTGATCACCATTACCATCGTTGTCGTCGACATCGCCCACACCGTCGTCATGAACATTCACATCGACATCACCGTTGTCGCCGGCAGGTCAAGTATTACCATCAAGATGCGGGTGGACGGGTAATATGTTCGCACGAGCGTTGGACGAGGTCACGCGATGCGTTGCGCCACGCATAGGCTACACCCCAGACAGACGCAAACACACACAAACCCACTGCAAATAGACAGTGCGAGAGCCCATTACTTGGGGCTCACGCTGGTGAACAAAACAATGAACTAGAATGCGCCAGACAAATACAACAAGAGTCCAGGACTAAGTGAACTTCGTGTTGCCTAAGTGTGTGCTGTCCGTTGCCGCACATGTCAAATCATCACCCTATCTGCTGACCCTGCCTGTTACCAACAACGGAACGATAAATGCTCCGAACGTCTGTGAGCCAGCGTAGACGTCACAAAATGTACCCGGCGCGCCATGGAAAGGACTCCCTTGGGAGACCCACTGCGACTGTAACTCCGTCTTCCCGACAGGGGGACTGACGGATGCTGGGCGCCTCTCGCCAAGACCCCTGCTCCCCGAATGGCGAAAAAGCGTTTCATGCATGAAGCCGCCGCAGCCCATCCTGACCGCAGCGAGTCCGTTGTGTGCTGCACAGCCTCGGCAGGGGGCAAGGCAGTCTTCGAACACGAGGCTGGGAGGCACATCCCGCAATGGATAAGTCGTAAAGAGTATCCGAGCTCTGTGGTCACCGCTTCGCGGCTGCCCTTATGGATACTTGCTGGGAGGACCAGTGCATTTCTTGTGCCCACTGGCAGAGAGGAGGGAACGCGTGAGAGAAGAGGGCGCCTGTCAACCAGAAAGGCTCGATCCGCGGGGGACTGCAAGGGGAACGGGCTGCCGGCACAGATCAGCTGCGGCAGCTACCGCGGAGGCGCCCTGGGAGGTGCAGAGCATCACAATGGCATCAAGCTGTGCTCTGACGCCCACGTCTTCCTTTCAGACATTCCCCGCTCTCGCTCTTGGCCTCCTTCTTTCTACATGCAGCCCCCACTGTCTCCCCCGTTCTCCTGCTTTCTTCTCACGTCCGCTGAGGCGCCTCAGTCTCTCTACATTGATGTTGCTCCCATCGTACTTGGGGACCACATCCCAGAAATAAGTTCGAGCACCCAGGAAAATATCGAAACAGTGTCGAGAGAGTATCGCCTCCCAGGGCCCGACGCGCGAAAACCATCAGTTTCGGTACTTTCTTGGTGCTCGAAATTCTTTCTGGTGATCAAGGCTAGAATAGGTTGGAACATAACTCTATATAGGTACATCTCACCCCTCTCGGAAGCGACGTTCTCGGAAGCGACCTCCTGCGCACGTTCGCGGGGGACAAGGTGGGCCCAGCGGGAGCCTTCCTCTACGGCGTGGCACCGAGGCACCGCTGCCATCCTGCGCGGCGGCACGCAGCACCTCGGGGACCACTGGGGCAGAACCGGGAGCACCGCCCGCGCAGCTTGGCAGCGACACCTGCATCGGGCGACGCCAGGCATCCGAACCCTCTGTAGGGTGCCATGGCAGAGGCCGCTGCAGCACGAGACTGCGCACGGGACCGGGAGGAAGCCGGATGGAACTGTAATGGCCCCGGGCTTAGCTGTTCTCACAATCGCCGGGGGGCGCTTTTTTCACCGATTTCAACTTTTGGTGTTGCGGTCGACTTAAACAAAACAAAAACCGTTAACCCTAAGCATGAACATAGTGACACCTGCCGGGGCCCCTGAGGCCCCAAACCGGGCAAAAACGCCAGGTGTGGAATAATTGGAACGCCCAGCTCTCAGACGAGGAGAAGGAGGATCCCCCTCCTGCGACAATTCACGGGACCCTCCCGTGCCGTCTCGTTGGCTCTTGCGAGTCGACGCTGATCGACGCTCAGTCGGCGCTCTCTCATCGACTGCTGGACGCTAGCGCACGCGAGTGCATTCTAAAGACAAAACTGCGAGGGCATACAAGGCTCTCATGATTTGACGAATTTCGGAAATCCTGTACCCAAAAACATGTTCATCTCTTGGGGATGCATTGCTCACTTCCGCCACCTTCCGCCGAGCTTCCGCCGGCTTCCGCCGGCGGAGGCGGCCTCGTTGTACTCCAGCCGACATTCCGCCGCCTTCCACGGCGGAAGAGATGACAACTCTTTCTGCCCTCGAAGGGAAGGCCTGTTCTGGAACGCCTCATTTGGTACCGGACAACGCCCAGATGTCAGAGGAGGAGGAATCACCCAAACCACCGCCCGAGACCGCACCGGCGCCCGCGCGCGGGCGCGGGCGCGCACCCGCTCGAGCTCCTCCCGCTGCTGGCCTGCCTCCCGCTGGGCGGCCTGGGGGGGGCGGGGGAGCAGTGCGGCGTGCAGGAGGAGCTGGACCCCCTCCCGCTGCTGAGAATCTCCCTCCTCCCTCCTCCATCCCCTCCTCCTCCTCCTCCTCCTCCTCCTCCTCCTCCTCCTCCTCCTCCTCCTCCCTAAAAACAGGTCCACCTCCTCCCTCCTCCATCCTCCCTCCTCCTTTGAATGCTCTCCTCCTTCTCTGGGGCGGGGAGGGGGAGACGAGGGGGCTCTGTGTCGTTGTCACCCTCCGAGCTGCAAGAGAAAAAAACATGACGGCAGCCTTTCGGCAAGTTTCGGACTCTGGAGACCCGCGCCGCGTGCCATGGGCCCCGACCCCTCCTCGGGATAGAATCCAGGATCTGCGCGCGCGCTGTTTCCGTCTTGGGGCCAGTTGGCTCTGCCTCGGGGCCTCGAGGCCCTCCAGATCGCCCCCAAGACGGCCCAAGAGAGGCCCTCCAAGACGGCGCAAGGGACGGCTCCGAGACAGCCCGAGAGGCCTCCCACAAGGCGCCCTGAGCAATCAGTCACGACGGCTGGCCGGCGGTAGTTTTTGTTTGGCCTCTGGAGGCCCGCGCGGGGCCCCCGGAGCGCAACGAAAAACTGGACTCGGGATGAAAATTTAAAAAAATAAAAAGAATGGTCCTGAGCACTCGGTCCAGAACCTCGGGGTCCCCTCCTCCTCCTCCCCCCTCCTCCTCCTCCCTCCTCCTCCCCTCCTCCTCCTCCTTTTCCTTTTCCTTTTCCTCCTCCTCCGCCTCCTCCTCCTCCCTCCTCCTCCCTCCTCCTCTTCCCCCTTGCCTCCCCCTCCTCCTCCTCCTCCTCCTCCTCCTCCTCTTCCTCCTCCTCCTCCTGCTCCTCTCACGCTGTGAAATCCTTACGGCCGTCCGGAGCTCTGGGGATCACGTCTGGACAACAACAAACAAAATAATAGAAAAAAAAAATCACCAAAAACAAAACACCAAAACAAAACAACAAAAATAAGACACAAAACAATAGCTAGCTGGAGACTGAAGAACCGTGCTGGGCGCTGAGGGGCGGCGGAGCCTCGCCGAAGACATGGATATCATCGACGCTCCTGGATACGTGCACTGCACCCCCCCTGGACTGCTCCTACATCGTCACCTCCCATGGGGAGCTTCCAGCGCATTCCGTCCGAGGAGGAGCGACAGCACCTAACACGTCCGAGCGCGCCGAGACAAGGGCAAGGGTTGGCAAGACCAAGAGGACAAGAGAAACACGAAATGGGCAGGAGGGGAGAAGAGGAGTGGAGGGACGAAGGGGGGGGGGTCGGAAAGCCCGCGGTGCGAGGGGGGATCGCGGAGGACGGAGGACGGGGGGGGGGAGCCCACAGTGCGGCCACGTGGCCCCTAGCGCTGCCCGACTTGGGCCCGATGTGGACCAGATTTGGAACGGATTTGGGGCGGAATTCGGACGGAACTCGAGCTCCACAAGGGAAACGACGAGAACGAGGAGGGGGGCAGGAACAGGAAGGGCGAGGAGGAGCAGGAGGAAGGGCCCACTGCGGTCCAAGTGCGGTCCAAATTCAAGAGAAGTGCTGATTTCAACATCGCAGCCAAAGGGCCCCCACGAACAGACACCGGAGGGGCCCAGCGGGCCCGGGAAACGACACGGCCATTTGTTCTCCTCCTTATCCTGTTCCGTCGCATTTTTGTCTCTGCTGTTCTTCCGTTCGGTGTCTTTCGCCGTTTTGCGTTTGACATGAATGATCTGAGACGGACCTGCCGTGTCCAGGAACCTCTAGGGGGAGGGGGGTAACCAGCCTCGAGCTCACCAAAAACCCAGGAATTGTCAAGTCCATGGCGATGGCAGACTTGGGCATGTGCCCTCAAAAGCTCAGGATGCTCCTTGAGAGCGGCAAAGGGAAAAAGTTGATGCTAAGCAGAAGGATATTGAACCTAGATCTGCTTCAGGCTGGCAGGAGGGGGTAGGGTTGAAAGGGCGGGGGAGAGCACAGCGAAAGGGGGAAGGGGGAGAGTCGAGCACCCCGCGTTACGGCGAAGGGTCGTGGAGGATAGAAGAGAATGGGGGGCGGGTGGAGGAAGCCCGCGGTGCGGCGTGGATGGCGAGGGGGCCGTGGGAGAACGGAGTGGTGGTGGCTGGGGAGGGCGTCGGGCTCCCCTTCTGGATCCGTGCGGCAGCTGAGCCCATTCGGCCGCAAGGAGGCTAGCCGAGCGGGCTCCGTTCCTACAGGGCCGACGGCATTGAGCCGACGGGGCCGCCTCGAGGCGGAGTCCGCTCGGCCGACGGATGAGCTCAGACGCCGAATGGGCTCTTCCTCCGATCCCCCCCACACACTTCTCCCACATCACTTCTCTCTCTCTATATATATATATATATAAATACTAGAACCATCGCGCGCGCTTCGCGCGCGCTCAGGTTCTAGCCCAGGCCAGGGGCGCGCTAGAAGATCTTGGACAGCGCTATCAAGCACAGGCGCGTGACATAGTCGTGTCTCCTGAGGGCCTCTTGGGAACCTCTTGGGTCTTCGTGGGGGCATCTGAAGGGCTTCTGGGGGGTTCTCCGTGCTTCCTCAATTGGCTGTTGGAGGCACATCTTGGGTGCTTCTCGGGGGGCATCTTGGGGCTTCTTGGGGTCCCTGAGGGGCATCGTCAGGGTGCTCCGGGCAGTCGGAACATGATGTTCTGCAGTCTGAAGCAGTCAATTGGCCGTCTTGGCTGCGTGGAGGCCCGGTTGAGGCCACATAGGGGCAATCCGGAAGCCTCCCGGGGCCTCCTTGAAGCAATTTTGTTGGATCGAGAGCACTTTTCGGCTATCTTGGGGCCTCGTGTACGTCTCCTGTGAGCCTTTTGGGGCCTGGTGGGGGGCTTTGGGGGGGCCTCGTCGGACCACTTGGGGACTCTTGGGGCCTCCTGTGGGCCTCTTAGGGCGGAAAGCTCTGCTGTTGGGTTCGCGTTCCCCGTCTTGGGGCTCTCTTGGGGCCCTCTTGGAGCCCTCTCGGGCCGTCTTGGGCGCCTCGGGCACCGTCTTGGGGCCCTCGTGGGCCGTCTTGGGGCCCTCTTGGAGGCCACTTCGGCTATCTTGGAGCGGTCTTGGGGGCCACTTGGGCCGTCTTGAAGCGTTGGGATGCCATAAGGCTGGGGACTCTAAAATCCATCAAAAGCCGATGGGAAAACAATGCTTCTTGGAACCTCTTCGGCCTTCTGGGGAGCTTCTTGAGGGCCTCCTGGGTCCCATTTGGGGGCCTCTGGGGCTTCCTGAGAGCCTCTCGGGGTGGAAGGCTCGGATTTTCGGTTCGTCTTACCCCTTGTGGGCCCCCTAGGGGCCGTATTGGTGCCCCCTCGGGCTGTCTTGGATCCTGTTGGATGCCTCTGGCGCCGTCTTGGGACCCCCGTGGACTGTCTTGTGACCGTCTTCGAGGCCTCTGGGGATGCCTTGGAGGGGAAATTGAAGCCTCTTGGACCGTCGTGGAGCGTCAGGAAACTCAAAAGGCGAGAACTCGAACATCTAACAAAAACCAAAGGAACAAAAATTAGTTGTGCCCCCTGGGGCTCCTTGGGAGCCATCTTGGAGACCTCTTGGGGCGTCTTGGAGGCCTCTTAGACAGTCAGGGACCAATTCTGGGGTGATCTCGGGCGGTCATTAGTCGTTTTCGTTGTCTGGAAACGCCATTTCTGGCAATCCAGGGCCGTCCTCGGGCGACTTTACAAGGCCCCAGGCGCCACGGCAGGCCCCCCGTGCCCCCCGGTGCGAGGGCCCCGTCCCGGGCCCCGCCTCGTGCCCGCGGCAGGGTGTCCTTGGGCCGTCTCGGCGCCCTCGTGGGGACCTGTTGGGGCGACATTGGGTGTCTGAAATGCATCAAAAGCCTAAGGGCAATCAATGATTTTGGCGTCCCTTTGGGCCGTGTTGGAAGCCTTGTGGGCCGTCTGGAGGCCATCTTGGGCGTGTTCGAATCCTCGTTTCGGGGCCTCTTGGGGGCCTCTTGCGGCCCTTCTCGTTTGTGTTGGGGCTTTCTTGGGCCGTCTGGGGGCAGCCCTGGGCTGTCTCGGCGCCCTCTTGGAAGCCTGTTTGGAAGATTTCTGGGTGTCCTGGACCGTCCTCCTTCAACGTCGGCGGCACTGGCCGTAAGACTTCCTGGGAACATGAGTTGTTGGGGTGTCGTTGGGCGCCTCCGGAGGCTTCGGGGCCTGACGCGTTTCCGAGCGTGGCGGCAGGTAGCGCTGCCTGGGACT